ATAGCTAAATCATCATCTGTCCTACAGGTTACATGCCCTGGAATCTCTGTATTTCTAGACCAAGAGGGAATGGACTTGTGATGGTTAATTTTATATATCAACCTGACTGGGCTAAGGGATGCCCACGTAAGGGGTGAACATTATTTGTGGGGGTGTCTGTGTAGGTGTTTCTGGATAAAATTAGCATTTGAACGGGTGAACTAAGCAAAGCATATCACACCTTCTCTCACCATGGTGGGCATCACCAATCCACTGAGTGCCCGAACAGAACAAAGAGGCGAAGGAAGGGCGGATTCGCTCTCTGCTTGAGTTGGGATGTCCATCTTCCTCTGCACCAGACATCAGAGCTCCTGGGCCTCAGGCCTTTAGACCCAGATCAGGACCCACACCATCAGCCCTCAATTCGCAAGCCTTTGGACTTGAACTGAACCGTACCACTGGTTCTCCTGATTCTCCAACTTGCAGACGGCATAATTGGGACTTCTCAAGTGAGCTAATTCATATAATAAATCTCCTCTTACATCTCTCCTTATGTCCTATTGGTTCTGTCTCTCTGGAGAACCCTAACTACTATAGAACTGTTGGAACCCTATGGTCGCATGTGGGCTGTTTCCATAAAAAAAACAGAGCATAACAGAGTCACTGTCCCTCTTCAGTCACACCCGGGGTCTTCCCTCTTCCCAATGAGTGTGACATTGCAGAGATGCCTTTTAATCCCATGGGCACTTTGGAAGCCAGCTCTGCAGGTGGAGGTGCTACCTCATGGGTGAGGGAGCCAGCATCTAGTGCAGGTAGTGGGAGGGTTGACGCTAAATTAGCCACAGGCTAGGAGTCTACACGCCCTGCACTCAGAGTTTCCAATCTAATACAATGCTGATGGATGTTACTCTATATTTTGGGTTCTGAGGAAGGCAGCTAGGCTTTGTTCACAAGGAACTTCAACATAAGGTGCACTTTGATGAGGACTGTCTGAAGAGCCGATGGGTGGGGGTGGGAGGCAGTGGAGATCTAGTCCCTCTCTCCCAGAGCACAGATCGAGAATCTACGATGTGCCGACCCTGTTCTGGAAAGCTCCCTGGAGGCAGTGGCATTGATGTGGACCTAAAAAGAGGGATGGGTTCATCAGGCCTGTAAAGAATAGCTATAAATTAGGATTTAAAAGATCCAGGGTAATTCAATGAAAAAAAGGTATTATTTAGAATATGAATTTCTGAAACAGCTGTTTTGACCAGTAGGGTAATTCCTCTAAGATCAATGTACAGGTCAACATCTGGAAGAATTGGGGGGAAATTTTGTTTTAGTTTGAATTAGTTGTGTTTTCACCCCAACCTGTTCCAATAGATTTATCAGTTCAGTTCTACTTGCCTGAATGCCGGTTTTGTGTGTGACTCGTACTTCAGACACAAAGCATCTACACACAAATATCTATTTGCCTGAGCCTCTTAATAAACCTGTGAATTAAAAGAAGTACTAAAGCAACAGTCTATATTGACAATCTGTTAGAAGAAAGAAACCTTCCCTGTCTATAATCCATCAAATCCTTGACATCAGAGACATGTACAACTATGCAATCTTGAAATGAACCAGTTCTGCTTCCCCCAATTCACAGACACCATGTACTGAGAAAAACAAACAGGGAACTTTCCTTTTTTGTCAGTTGTAGTGCAATGTTTATATGAACTGGCTGCAACTAAAATAATTTATCAAGCCACAAGTAAAACTAAACAAAACTAAAATATTAAATTGGACAGAAAAAACTTCAGCGAAATCTTCAAAAACTGTTAACATATTTCACCCGACACACATCTCTGTAATTCTTGTGTTTGTAAAAATTATTTTTTTGGTAAATTGAGAAATACCAGCAAACAGAGCATGTGCAGAACTAGCCTTGGCAAACTGATTTCCAGAGAAGTGTCTTTCAGAGAACCGAGTTTCCCTGAAGTGCCCTAAAGCCACGTTGGCTCCTCAGAGGCTCCTTGCACACTTCCTAGTTCCCCGCTAGACTGGGCCAGGGCTGCTGCTGCGGGGACTCAGGTGAGGGAGCGGGGCCCCAGCTCAACCCTCAGAGGCCTTCGAGGAAGTTTGGAGTCAGCGCTAAAACCATTTCTGTGTCTCTCCTGCACAGTCAGTGTGACAAGAGTCACTAAGACTCAGGATTTCCAGCTTCCACGCCCAGACCCAGACTCTCTTTCTCGTCTCCTCAGGGCAATAGATAAAGAGAAGTTTCTGCTGCTTTCTTCTGGCCTGGAGTCCACATCAAGTCCTTTTTGGGAACAGCTCCTCAGTGAAGCCTCAAAATCCAGTCTCTAGTATCAGCCAAATCTAGGTCCCTGGGCTGCCAGGGGCTCCATCTCTCTCCTTCCCTCTGTAAGTTCTCATCTCCCATGTACTGCAAGCATTACTTTTAGTAAACATGTTTTAGTCATACAACAATATGGATAAAAACACAGGTAGCTTCCACATAGCTGTCAGGCAGCTTAAGGGACAAAACGTGAAGGCATCTATTGAGGGCCTCTGTGCCTCCCTCTCCGAGGAAATATCAGTCCTGGACTTGGAGCTCACTGTTCCCATGTGTGAGCTACATATTTCTTCAGAGTAAAACACACACACACACACACACACACACACACACACACACACATTCTTTTAAAGGAAAGAAAATACATTCTGTACTCTGCAGACTTGAACAGTTACTTATTCTCAGACATCTGGACCTGATGGGCCAGTAAAATGTCTAAATTAATTTTGGGCATGTGTAAGACTCTCAGAATAGAAACATTAAAAAAAAAACCACAAAAATATCATCTGCTATTAAGTGACTTTATGAAAGAAAGAACTTTTAACATGAAAAAGGTGGAGAGAGCATATTTTTTGGAATTGTAGAAACTGAATACATTTGGGTTAATCAAAAAGTCTTTATTTTTCTCATTTTCACACAGCCTGGAAAACTTCATCTTAGAACTCCCTGGCATTTAGGAATCACTAATTCAGAAACTCAGACTGCTGTGACCTATGCCCCTCAGAGGATGGGGACTTTCTACAGGGAACCACCCCCATCCTGGATGCTGGGCGCACTTTTGCCACCCACCCCTTCTCAAATCACCCCACCTGGTCTGTAGCTGCCTCTGCCCCCATTTCCTTATCTCTGGGTCTTTGTCTGCAAGTCTTTATCGCCAGATAAAGGTACCACGCCTTCTTCCCCAACCCATCCCCACCCTCCCCTAGGCCCTTAGGGACCTCAGGATTCCTTCCCTTCTTCCTTCACAGCCCCCCCAGCCCACTGGCCACCTCCCAGCCCTCACGCCCAGGGCCTTCCCTCGCTGTGTCAAAGCACAAGCAACGCTCTGACAGGGACAAGGCCAAACTCTGAGGAAGGGGCCAGGACGAACCAGGCAACAGTGCGTGCAGGTCTTGGGAGACTGGAGCAACCCACTGAAAATGTCAAACGGAGAAGAAAAGAAAAAGATCATTGATGCGGCAGCCCTACCTTATGACCTGGCCCGACGCCCACCCTCCTCCACAGGTGCTCAAATGAGGGGGCGGGCGGTGCAGGGCCTGACCCAGTGTTTTGCAATAACCCCCAAGGAAAGCTGGTTCTGCCTCTCCCCGTCCTGAGCTGGGAACCACTGATGTCACACAAACCAGGACGAGATAAAGTCAGTCACCTCTGACACTTTGGATGCAAATTTCATTCAGTCAAACAGAAACAAAAGAAAAACTCATTTCACGAAAGGGGAAGCAAAACCCATCATTAAATGGCACCCAAGGTCACCGAGCTGGCTGCAGACGATACTGACTGGTCCCTTAACCCCACTGGGCCTCAGTTCCCTCATGGGAAAGATGAGCTCAGATTAAATTATCTCTGAGAACCAGGACAAGGGAGCCTTGGAAATTCAGAGCTGTGACAAGCAGCATCAAATCGGTCTAAGTTTTAAAAACCACACAGCAATACCATAAACCCAAGTTCAAATGGCAGTTCTCCTGACATCAGGGTGGGCCGGGCAGCTGCCAGCAGACCCTCATTGTCCATCTCCATCTTTCCGACTCTCCTGAGCAGCTCTGCGGAACAAGCCCACAGCCTGGGAGCAACTTCAGAGCTCCCAACTCACAGAGGGGCTGTCACGGGGCAACAACGAAGTGCTAGGCCTTGGTGGAGGTGCAGAAGAGGAAGGAAACTTGTCACAGGTGGCTGGCTCTCTGCCTAGAAACACCCCAGGCCATGTCCCCAGGACCTGCCTGGCAAGCAGCCCCACCACAAGTGCCACAGGCCCTTTGCCCACCACAGCACCTCTGTCTTTCCTAGTTCCTGACTTCCCTGCCTTAATTCCAGTGAGAACACCTCCATCTTTGTGGTTTATAAATGTACACAACCCAGCATCTCAAATACAGAACACACATACTTAAAAAAAAAAAAATACAGTTGGCTGTATTCAAAGGATGGTAAACTTTATTGTTTGTGCTGTAGGCAGTGTCCCAGCTCTGGGGTCCACACTCCGTCCTGATCCAGAAGCTCAGGCAAAGAACCATGCCTCTTCCACACCTGACTACCCCCACATCACGACCACACCTCTTCTTCTCTGCAGGATCAGAGGGGAGGCAACAGCCAGACATCTGGCTTGCTCAGGTTGGCTCTCTTACTGAGAACCAGTGAAAAGTGTAGAGGCTCAAAAGAATCCCACATGCCATCCTCTGGGACCCTTCAAACATTCAAGCACCAGCGCACCACCTTCAGAGCTCACATTGCTTTTATTTGGACCATCACTTGGCTTTGGGGTTTTTCACAACAGCCCTGTGACGTAAGGAGCACCCCCATTCACTGCAGAGAAGTGCAGGAGCAGCAGCCCCAGCTCCCCAAGGCGCAGAGGGGCTCCCAACAGCCCATAACCCAGGCCAAGAGAGGCCAGGGGTCCCACCACCCAGACTTTCCCTTTACATCCCCAGTGCACGAGCAGGAACCCCAGAACCAGAGTCATGCAGAGGAGACGGGCCGGGCCAGAGTCTCACTTCTGGTTGAGGATGCGCGAGAACTCCTCGTAGTTCACCCGTCCATCCTTGTCCAGGTCCGCCTCCTTGATCATGGCTTCCAGCTCCTCCTGGGAGAGCTTCTGCCCCACCCGGGCCATGGCCTGCTTGAGCTCGTCAATGGTGATGTAGCCGTCGCCGTCCAGGTCGAAGGCTCGGAACACCTCCTGCAGGTCCAGCTGACCACCCAAGGACTTCATCCTCTTAGCCATCGCTGCCAGGAACTCCGGGAAACTGATGGCACCGTCACCATCCGTGTCCACCTGGGCGATGATATTCTTCAGCTCATCCTCTGTCGGGTTCTGGCCCAGGGTCCTCAGGACATCACCCAGCTCCTGCACATTGATAGTGCCATCTCCGTTCTTGTCGAACCTGGTGAAGGCTGCCTTGAACTCAGCCACCTGCTCTTTGGACAGCTCCTCTGCCATGTTGCTTGCTGCCAACCAGCTCAAAAGATTCCTGTCAGAGCTGGGGACGAGGCTGTGTCTGTGTGAGGGCAGAGCTCGGATGGCAGCCTTGCCATGGGGTGGGAACCCCTCCTTTTCTACAATCGGCGTGAGGGAGGAGGCAGGCTCCCCACCCACCCCACATCCTCGGGCAAAATCCTCCTCCCAGAGGGACCGACCAGCAGCAGACAAGAAATGCAGGAATTGGAGTGGCGGGGCCCGCCCTGGAGAGGCTGGAGTGTACTACCCGGGGCCATGGGGCCTGCCAGCCAGGATCTCCTGGCCCAGAAGCTTTTTGTCAGGTGACTCTCACAGAGACCCCAGCCAAGCTGAGGGGACAGGATGGCTTCTGCAGCTTATAGAGCCTGAGGCTGGGAAGGGGAAGGGAGCCTCCTCAGGGGACACCGCAGCCCTAGAGGAGCAGGATCGCTGTGTCCGGTGTTCCTGTTCCCCTCTCTCGAGGCTGCTGTCCTGCTCTTGTCCTGGACAAGACAGAGCTAGAATTGAATGGAATTTTACCAGGGTGGAACCCTGGGTGCCATCGGATGCCCAATCCAGGGCTGTCGACACATCTATAAATGGAGGAAGTGGTCAGCTGCCTGTAGCTTCGAGAAAGCGAGGAGCTGGGTGGCGTTCAGAACCTGGCACAGGGGTGGTGCTGAGACCTGTTCATTAAATGATGTTCCAAGTGTGGCTTAAGAGGTGAAGAAACAGCCGTCTGTCCCGCAGAATCCTTCTTGAGTTTGATTCCATTCTACTGTTAAGTCCAAGGTTCTCTGTGCAGATGCAGGGCAGGATTGCGTGTTGGTTTACATGCACGGGGCAGTCCTGCCTGAGAGCCATGGGGAGACTGGAGAGCACGGGGTGGCCCGAGCAGGCCAGCCTCTGAAGATGCTCAGGGGTAGAAGTACGTACAAATGGTGGCTGAAACTGCAAACGTGGCCAAGCTTGCAGGTTTACTAAGAATCAGCCCTAAGCACAGAAATCCAGTCTGGGAACCGCTCCCCAGCCCCAGCCCACTGTCTTGTCTATTCTTTGGAAGGAAATCCCACCACTCTGAGTAGCAGAGTTTAGACCAAGCGCTTGGCCCTTGGGCACTGTCCCCAAGTCCTAAGTGAGACCCAAGACTGTGAAGGGGACATTAGCCTTGGAGTCCCCATGGTGATTTTCTCAAGAAAAATTCCTCTTGATCCCTGTAAATTCCCAGGAGCCCCCTTCACCTCTGCCTCTTTGTAAGGAATAAAATCCATCACCCTTCAGCTGAGAACTGCGATAAATTCCATCTCTCTGGTTCAGCCCTCAAACAGACTGAGGATTCTCTCCTTCCCTGTAAGGCAGCCAGGCAAGCACCTCCCACCTTAAGCACCGCACACCCACCCCCAGCCCACACCAAGTCTAGGGGACCCAGATGGAGAGAGTCACAAAGGGAAATGTTCCAGTTATGCAGCTCCTTTTATGAAGACATCTAGAAGAAGCATTGCTATTTCATCTTTGTGCTGAAATAGTACTGACACCTTAATACATATTGAGCAACTAATTTCTCACTGAAACTGACAACCAGTATCGGTTGGAACGTGTGGGTCCACCTAAGAGACCAGCACAGGGAAGCTCCAGCTTCGTAGGCGACAAAGGAAGGGTGGAGCTCCTAATAGCTGGAACAACCCAGATCCTTTATTTATTTTTTAAGAACATTTGAAGATATAAATCTATATTTTAAATTTCCTTTTCTTTCATCTTATTAACAGTACTTGTGATTACAAACCCAAGATGCTTATTATTCTCTTATTTTCCCTTGGTATTAAATAATACATGGCAAGCAAGGGAGAGTTTTCCGACACTATCTTGTCAGACGTGGGCTCTTGGTTCGAGCTCCATCTCTGACTTGGGAACTTAACTTGTGTCTCAATATCTTCACCTGTAATACAGGATAATATGCCCACCATATCTGATTAGGGCACTTAGGATCAAAGGTCAAAGTACTTTGATCAGCAGAAGGTGTTATTGTTCTGTGACAAATCTTATATTTAGTAGCCAGCTGGCTCGTGTTTGATGTAAACCAACACTCCAGACAATACCCACTTGCAGGGGATCCTTGCTCTCATTCTTTTTATGATACCTTTCTTGATTGAATTGATATAATAAACTTGTCTGCCTGGAGGTTTGAGTCACATCAAACAAACAGGCCACACTCTGAACACTAGTCAGCTTTTGGAAGTCCGCCCTAACAGATGCCAGAGGCTTCTATTCAAAATCTAAGAGTTGTCATGGGACAGGACGATGACCATTATTCACATGATACTCATCCTCTCCACGTAGGGATGGGGGCTTCAGGAGGTAAAGTCCTATGCCCAAAGCCACTCAGAATCTAGAGACAGACCCAGGCTTCTGGCTGACTATGTCTTCATCCTCGGCCCATCATTGGGGTCCTCCTTTCTCTCCAACACAGTGCCTTCTCCTTTCAAAGCAGGAATCAGCACTGAAATCATTTCTTCACACCTTCCTGCCCACCCAGGCTTCTGCCTAAGCAGGCTGGTCGTTGGCTGCCCTAGGCCAGCATCAGGATAACCATCTCGAGTGACCACCACCACCACCACAAGGTATCTGACAGTCGAACTTTGTTTGGGCTGGGAAAAAGGACCTTTATTGCCATCTCTGATTAAGCTTGATAGAGCCCCTTTCTCCCGCCGATGATTTAACTCACATCAGCCTGGGTACAGAGCCCAGCTCTTTGGAGGGAGTGGGAGAGAATTAGAAATGCCTCATATTCATGGTATTTCACAGTCAAAGAGCATCCACAAGCCTGAGAGGCCCCCTGTGCATGATGGGAGTGAGGCTGTACCCTGGCCAAGGAGCCCGGAGCTGGAGAGACTGTCACTTGCTTGCACCCCACAGCTGAGCCCCTTGGGGCCACATGAGATGCATGAGCAGGTGCGCAAGGAAAGAGAATAACAGCACCTGATGAGAATCAGTTTTGCTAAAGGAGTACCTGGAACCAAAGAGGATGTGGTTTGACAAAGAGGAGAGACGCGGGTGGGTTTGCTAGAGAAAGCCTTGAGTCTTTTCAATGTCCCCTGTTGGAGGTCAACTCTCGAGCCCAGGACTCATTCGCTCACCAGCCCCCCACCTCAGTGTTACCACCCTGACACTTGCCAGGGAAACCTCGACTCTTCCTAGTGAGAATGGCCATGGTCCTGGAGGAGAAGAGGGCCCCTTTATTGAGGAGAGAAATGAGACCTCCGCAGATGTTACAGGAAGGAGGAAACCCTCTGCATGGCGGCTGGTTGAACGCTCAAGGGCATTCACACAGCCTTAAAGAAGGGGCGTTGACACTGTCAGACTGCGTGGTGCAGTGGCCGTGCCCGCACGCGTGTGTTGGGAGAGGGTGTAGGGGCTGAGTTTCCTTCTGTTCAGATGTTTGGAAGCAGTGCTGAAGCCAGCTCCAGCTTTCACAGGAGCCTGACCCCAGCAGCAAAACACACGCCTGTGCTCCCATTACTGTTTGGCTTTGTGGGCAAAATACTTGTGACAAACCAGTAAGACGAGTCTTGGAGACTCCTCTGACTCCCCTGGCTTGCTGGAACATGCTTGTCCTCACCCCTGAGCCAGTCTCTGGTGTTGACACTGCCCAACCTTGCCCAGGGAGATCCCACCCCCTGGAAACAAGGAAGGAGACCACTGAGGAGTCATTCCATGGCCACGGGAGGCCACCCTCCGCCATGCCTTTCTTAAGGAATGAGCAGCAGACGGCGGGTTCTGAGCCCCCATTGTGCCCATTCTGCTCCCCACAAAGGCAGTACAGCATTTGGCTTTGGACTCAGGCAGCTGTGGGCAGGGTCCTGGCTTCCTGTGTCACAGGCTGCACAGCCTGGGGCAGGTGACTTCACCTCCCCAGAGTCAGCTGCCTGCATTGTAAAGGAGATACTACCAGTAGCTGCTTTGTAAGGGATTGAGATGGTTAGATGAGCTTCACAGAAAGCCTTCGATCAGAGCCCAGCATCAAATTGATACTCAGGAAATAGAAGAATTACTATCACTCATTTACCCATTCGGCCCAAGTCCCCTTTCTTCTGGGGGTTTTCTGCCAGGCCTTTGGCATTCTTCAGACAGACCTGGATGGCTTCTAAGTTCTCAGAAAGTCTTCAGCCCAGTTAAGCACCTGATCTCACTGATACCAGGGACAGGGTCTGTCCTGCTCACCGAGTCATTCCCCACGCCCGCCTCAGAGCAGGAGCACCTGGCTGTGGAGTTAATTCGACAGATGAACCTCATTCTGCAGAAAAGATCACATCTTGGGGACTCAGAAGTTGGAGACCACCTTTCCATTTGAGATCCCTGTGCAATCACAGGTGTGGTTCCTACACTCCCAGCGGGTCACCTGGGAAAGCACAGAGGCCTGACTCTCATGGAGATTGTGTTCAAAGAGACACATCACGTGTCTGCGTTCTGGGGATCGTGTGTTTGATTGCGCTGCACTAAGAACAGTTGCTGGCGCCAGCCGCTGTGTGTTCAGTGCCCACAATTTGCCTGGACTTGTTGGGGTGGTTGGCAAGAGCAGTCCTTCCCCCTCTTTTTTGGTTAATGACACACCTGGGAACTTGGCGGGACACACACTGCTCTGTCCCAGACCCAGGGCTTACTCACAGTTCATACACAAGCCCGGCCCCAGTGACAATGGCGCTGGTTATCCAGCACTTTCTGTAAGTGCTTTCAGCCAAGTATTTTTCCAGATAACTGAAACTGATCCCTCTAACCACTGAGCATTTTAACTTGAACCATTTTTGGTGGAAATCTTTCTAAGGGTGTACTTTGTGTTTTATTTCCTGTGCTATTTTTTAAACAAAGTAGGTGGAATAAGATCCCAGTGGTTAGAGATGCTCGACGTGACCGTCAGTCATTATGTAGAACTGCCCACGGGGACTGGATGTGGGTATGTTTGCCACACACTAGACAGTCCCAGCTTGCTGCTAATTTTCTAGTCGATCCCTCCCACCTCTGCCTTGTGGTCAGCTGTTAGTCTTCCATTGGTCTTAAGCTTCACTGCACAGCTATTGTTGACATAACTTAAGGCAGAACCCAA